GGGTCGGGCTAGAAGATCTACTAGGTCCCTTCCGACCCTAAATCTATGAAATATAGTTTTCACTGAGCTTTCCCTTTGGTGTTCTGCTATTCTTATATAATAAAGGGCTTAGTCCATCTGGCTGTCTGTCCATAATGCTCTGGAGCACTCTGACTGGTTAGTGAAGCAACCAATCGGAATATGGAGCGCCACCATGACAGCAGGGATGGAGAGGATGGAGCCGGGGGGCGGGGCCAGAGGCGCTAGAGGTGGCAGCAATGCGGGGTGCTGGCAGAGTGGGATGGAGGGGACGGCAAGACAAGCTTCCCCACCCCCACCCCAACCCCCACTCCTGGGAGGCAGCAGCAATGCAGGGTGGTGGGTGATGGCACTCCATGCCCACCTGCCCCGCCCCCCAACATTCTTGACGAGCAATTTGCTAGTATACTATATAGGTTCTCAAAACATGTCTGGACTCAGCCAAAAGGTGTTTTCTTTTGTTTTTCTATTTTGAGGAAAATCTATTCAAACTACAATATAAAAGCATCTTACAATACCTTGCTGTTCTGATTTCTGATTTAGTATGTTCAGGGCTTTCTTTGCTTTCATACTGTTTGCCAAAGACAATGCATATGTCACTAAGGCCATAGTGTAGTTATCAGAAATTCCTTCTTCTAATTTAGCTTCCAGAAAGCTTGCAGCTTCTTTGATCACTACAACAAACTAAGAATAAAGAATGTATTTAATCAAATTAATTTAAAGCTGTCATAAATAAATAACATTTTACAAAAGAAACAGGGGCAACAGCAGTATTGACAGTTTACAAGAAAAAAATGATAAAGGAATAGTATAAAGGAACAGTATAAATATATGATAATATTAATATATTGTAATTGTCATATATTAATATTATAAAATAAATGTGTTGTGTTTATAATATTTTATATTATCTGGAACTATTACTTTAAATAATATTAGAATCATACTAGAATTATAATGGGATATTGTAATTATAACATAATATTATAATGACAAATTTTACCTCAGAATAAAAGAAAATATAGACATTTGCTGTCAGAATCACACACTTGCATATCAGAAGTAAAGGCTTTACTGCAATCAAGTACTTGAAGTATCTGAATAATTCTACTGAAGTTAATGGGACTGCTCACATCCTTAAAGTTATACACATGGTTAAGTGCTTTATTAGGATCTCAGGTCTAAACCTGAAATCCCACACAATGGAACAACGAATTGTGTTAAGTTTTTGGAAGGGCAATCTATTATTAATGATAAAATTGAATGATCTTGTTTTGTTAATTAGTCCTCAGTTCCTTAAAAACTTCAAAATGATCAAGGATTCTTGTGATAGCTCATGAAATATTTTATTAGCTACACGCAATATTAATTAATTCTAATACCTCATCATTTTCATAGCCTAATAGGGTTGTCACAACATAAGCAGTAAGAGTTACTGGACTGTTACTCCCTCCTTGAAGTTCACTGTGTATCACTTTTCCAGGCTCCGTGAATTCACCATTATGTTTCTGATGTTTGACAATCCAAGCAGCTGTTCTCGACAGCACATAAGGATCAATATCTATGAATGGGCGAGCTTGAATGAAGCATCTTAATACAAAAGCCGATAACCTTTGGGAAAGGGTTAGCCAAATGCAAAACATTAATGATTTGCTATATTTCAACCCATTTACTGTATTTACACGAATGTAAGTCAACCCTGATTTAAGATGACCCCTCATAATTAGATTCTATATATGGAAAATGCATATTTTAAAATAATTTTCCAGGTACAGAATCTAATTACTGGATGGCTGTCTTGAATTCACCCCCCTTTCCCCTGCCATATCAGGGAAAGCAATACCTCCTCCTACCACTCTCCCCCTTGTCCTCTGCCCCCACTTCTTTCCCTTACAGCCTTCCTGCCCCCCCCCACCAGCACCCCTCACCCCCAGCTCCCCGCAGCCTCTGCTCCTCCTCTTCCACTCCCCACAATCTCTGCCCCTTCCCCCACAACCACCACTCTCCAGTCTCTGCCTCTTCCCCTTCCCCGCCCTTATGGGCAGACACTGCCCAGTCTCTGTTCCTTCCCAGAGCACAGCAGCTGGAAGCACAGCCCCTGCCGGCCATACAGCGCTGCTGACTGGCCATTTTGGGGGACAGAGTTTTCATGTATTCTGTCCTCAGCCTGAGCCAAGCTGCACCTGATAGTTAAGGGGGGAAGAGGGCAGTGGCAGGGAAGAAGCAAGGGGGTCAGAGGGCAAGCAGAGGGGGTCTGTACTGGATCTGACTCTGGCCCCGACCTGGGCTCAGGGCCAGAGTCAGAGTCACAGGAGCCACCTGCCCACCTCCACTTTGTATGTAAATCTAAGACAAGGGTTTTTTTCCCCCAGCTGAATGGGGGGAAACACTTTGTTTTAGATTTATGTATTATTCAAAATGCAGTTGTGTCCAATGTGTTAGATGATTTCCAGACACAGAAGGAAAAAAACCCTGTCTTGAAGAGTAAACAGTCTAAAGTTAATCAGCAAGAAAATAAAGTAAACTTTTTTGTCCTTAAAACTATGCTCTTTTTTAATATTTTTTGTCCATAGAACTGTGCTTTTTAAAACTTTACCATTTCAAAACTATGTATGATTTATATGTCAAAACACGCATTTCTTTATTCACATGTTGCTCATAAATTAAATGCATCTGTATGCCTTTTGAAAGATCAGAGATTTAGTTTGTCAAGCTTTAGGTTGTCAAGACTACCCATAATGAATGAAGTAACAAAGTAATGAATATGATTTTAAGAAGATGCCTTTCCATATAACCACATTATCAAAACAACCCTTTTTGCCTGAACTGTTAATATTTTGAAGGTTCATTTTGACCCCTTCATAGGGTCTAATATTACACTACTTATCTAACAGACCTCAAAGTCTTGGCAGCATCAGGCTCAGAATCCGAGTTTCTCCAGTTCATCAATACCAGATGTATTCTAAATTCCCATGTAGTCAATGAAAACTGTGACTGACTTAAGAGGACTTTGGATAAAGCCAGTAATTTGAACTCTTCTGTTAAGCTTCAAAAACTACACATAAAAAGCACAAGTACACTCAAGCTGGTTAAATATGGATTAATTAGCTGAGCAGCTTCAAGTGGTCTGTGTGGGTCACTGTTACCCAGTCGGGGCATCTACGCAAAACACTTTAGTCTATTATTTGACTAATTAGCACCACAGTAAAGTGTCACTGTCTATAAGTGCAGTGCTATAAGGCAAGAGTAAGCTAATTAACTTTGCCGTAGGACAGTACTGCCTGACACACATACTATCCTACAGCAGAATTATTTATTCTGCTGTAACACACATGTAGATGGGGCTGGCTGGGGCACAAGAGTGCTACAGTGTGGGGGCTGCCTGCTGACTGTCCACTGCACTGCAGTGGGGGCTGCCCTGCACTGTAACACCCTCATGCCCCAGCTAGCCCCTTTGCAGATCCCCCCGTCCCCTGCCAGCCAGAGCCATGCCACCTTAGCTCAATGTGCTGTGATCCCAACTGCACGTATAAATGTTGCACCCAAACGCAATAAACTCCAGTGTGAACTGTGTCACTCAGGCACACTAATTTCACATGTAGATGCGCCCTGTGTACATCTAAATGGTAGTTTTCAGCCATTTAATGGGCTTTTTAAACACTTACACACTGTCTGCAATTCTATTAATGAGGTAGCATAGATGTGCAATTGCACATACATACAGTAGACTACACACTGGGCAGGCAGCCAATGTACATGCATAACTCACAACACTGAAGGTGGACAAAAACCCGTGATTGGTGGACATTAGATGATCACAGGTTTCCTTCTTGCTAAGTCTGCACAATATATTTTAGGAGATCCTGAACCATAAAGGAAACTGGGCAAAGTACATAAACTGCAACTGCCATGGGAGGACAGTAGTCTTCCTATGTTTGAGCTCCAATAGTTAAGTGGCCAGGGAACGCATCTAGGTTCTAAGTCCCCCGCACCCAAAGTAGACCATCACCTATCTGTCTATCTGGAAAACTATCACTAGAGTACAGAGCTTTTCATTCCATGTGGGTTAAACAGTCTTTGAGGATGCAGAAAACCAGAATAAAACCTCGGATGCTACTTTTATTCCACATAACACCTTAAGATAAGAGGCAAGAAGGATGCTTGAAGGGATATAGTTGGCCCACTGTGCAAAGGACAAAAATGTCACACACAGAGGCTCTGCTTGGCACATGTGCAATGCAGTGGACAGTTCTCAGCCTTTGGTGTGAAAAGATGCAAAAGTTGTTCAGAACTATGATGATGAAAACATCATACATGAATTTGAACAGCTGCAAGATTGATGAATGCCCCTATTGTGCACCTTCAGAACAACATTCAAACCTTCTTATAACCTCATCAAATCATCTTTGTCTGCCTATGTCCTTAGACCAACACAGCTACAACCTATACCCCTTCTTAACAACATGGCATTTGGGAAGGTCTCTCCTTCCTGATACAGACCTCATATATTATTCCAAGAAGATACAGGGAGCCCCAAGAATCCCCAAACCCAGGCACTCTGTAAATTAACTCTAGTGTCCCTCACTAACCATATATAAGAAAAAGTAACTAATGTGCACTGCAGTCCTTCTAGGCATCTCTGGGTAATCAAAAAGCTGACATAATTTACAACAGCTCCCTAAGTTATGTTGGTGACTACTTCAGCCCATAAGCAGCGTGGATGTGAAAGGACATCACGGTGGGTTACAGGCTGGAGTTCTGACTTACTGTGCTATGCTTGTAAAGCCCACAGCACCAAATCCCATCCTTTATAACATATGAAGAAGCCAAATCTACAGTGTATCAATTAGCTTCTCTAGAAAAATGTTTTAAATGCTTTCTGTCTGGTGAACCATTTCCTTAGATACTAATATTGCCTCTAATTATTTTATTCAGTTTCCTTCCTCATGAAAACTGACTCAGTACTCATTCTTTTGCAAGGGTAAAAAAGTGCTCCTTTAATACTGATTTTTTAAATACCCTTAAAAGTTGGCTTACAGATCTAATGAAAACCAGACAGCAAGCTGGTATATCTGGAAATTTTTACCAGTTTAAAAGAGATTTCAGCCCAGTAAAACATTCAAACAATTTATAAAATTCCAAAATGACTAGCTTTTTTTATCTGGCAAAACTTACCAAGTGCTCCCAGAGGAGTCACTGTTTCCAAAGGCACTGAAAGAGCCATCATCTCTTTGGTAGAGAAGCTCTCTTTGGTATCCTGAAGGGACAAAAGTAAAAGTCAGGTACTGTATGAATTATTCTGAAGAGGACTCAAACTATAATGTTCTTTGGAAAACATGAGAAAAAGTTTTCCAGTACAGGAGAATGAAGAGCAGCAGAACTTAATGTCAAGTTTCACAGCATTTCTGCCAAATATGCAGAAGCAAATAAGAGAGAGAGAGGTTGCAAAAAGTAGGCTGTAGTAACATGAAGGATCTATTTACCAAGGTTGAGATGCAAGGCTTTAACTCCCTGTCATCAAAGGTAGTCTTAATAAAAATAAATGCAGATTCGTGGTGAATTAACAGAAGTATTACACGCAAGACATATGAAATTATAGTTTTATTCTCTGCAGTGCTAGTTCAGCTTCACCTGCAGTTCTGTGTCCAATGTATGATACTAATGTTTAAAATGGAAGTAAAGAAATAGGAGAGGGTCCAGATTTTAAGATTAAGCAGTGCAAAACTTTGACAATACATGGCTGACTGGAGGCATCTTAAAACAGCTTTACCTGATTGCCAGCCTAGTTCTATTTTAAATTTGTGATCAAAGTTTTGAGAATAACTTAGCTTTTTCTCTCAGAAACTGGAATTCCAAGATAGCCACTTTAACTCCCATGACTGAAAGCAAAATTTAAAAGGCAACTTTCCTTGTGCTTTTGTTTTAGTTAAATACAATTAAGTTTAAAAAAAAAGCAACTCTGGCAGCTTTATGGATCTTTTCATTCACAAGCAGTCAGTTTTTAAAAATTCATCATGATTATTTCAGAATGGCATTAATGAAGATTGTAGCAGATTATGAATGAATATAATGAAGATTATTTTTAAAGATGCATTTTTACTGCATTCTCATTCAGATATCTGAAATAAAATCTGTTGTGAATTAAACTGCATGACTTTCTTTTTAAACTGAATTTTTAAGAGACTGTATTACACAACTAAACCAGAGCTAAATTTCAACCTAAAAATACAGCATGATAGTTAACAATTAAAAAAAACAACAATTCCAAAACAGAAAATTAATTGTTGAGTGGGAAACAACCAAAAGCATGAAACAAAAGGTGTGAACATTTGCATTTTAAAGTTGTTGATTTTTCTTTCTTAAAATTAAACTTGTTTCAAAATCTTTACTGCTTTGGCCAACAGAGTCTTAAAGAATGCTGTTCTAATCTAAAAGCTAACACGAGTTAAACAAAACCATGCATTTTCTCTAAGTGACATATTTAATATTTTCAATTGTGACTCATTTAAGAATAACTTAATAAACTTAATAAAAGTGTTTTTTTTGATAACTTCAGAAAATTGTGGCTGCGCAGCTCAGGCTTCAAAGAGTAACAGATTACTTTCAGAGTAGTAGTTAAAATTACAAACATCGTTGTTTTGTTTTGGTTTTCTTTTTATTTTGCAGCCATACTGTATGACTGGTTGAAAAAATTTCCATCTAACCATTTTTGAGCGAAAAAAAAGAAAATCTATTATTAAAAGAGTGTTTTCAATGGAAAATTTTGACTCCTTGTTGAAATATTGAACATGGTGAAACCAAAACATTTCAGAAGAAAAGCAGAAAAAATATTCTATTTGGAAATGTTACCATAATCTCTCATGGCAGTTGGCTTATGTACTTTGCCCAGTTTCCTTTATGGTTCAGGATCTCCTAAAATATGCTGTGCAGATTCAGCAAGAAAGAAACCTGTGTCACCAGATATGTGACCAGAATGGGGGCATGCAGTACATAAAGTTCATAATGCACCTACAAATTTTCAAATTAGAACTTTTGGTTTACCTCGGCAATGTTTTTTAATTTTTTTATTCAAAAATTGTTTTTTTCTTTGAAAAATGTTGCTGAAAATTGTTTAAACATGTTTCATTTTTAATCAGACAAGGTTATTTGGGTAAATCTGGTATCTTTTATTAGACCAACTTAAATACTTGGAAAAAACCTTCTTAGCAAGCTTTTGGGCACAAACACCCTTCGTCAGCTGAAGAAGCATCTGTATAAATGTTCATTTCTAGTAATGGAAAATTACCACTTGCAACTGCCCCCTTTCCCCCGCTCCTTGTGCCCTCTCCACACCAGGGTGAGCCTGGTCTGGGGAAAGTGTGGGCTGCTTCGGTCATCCTGTTCCCAGGGGACTGAAGCAGCAGGGCAAAGCCCACTGGCCACAGCTCACACCAGAGACTGGTGTGAGAAGCAGGCAGGAGCTCCCTCTGCTCAAGTCCTGGGGCCCAGTGCACTGAACCCCAAGGCAAAGCCCCCAACCCTGGGACTCCACACACCTGGGACTCCAGTGTGAGAAGCAGGAAGCGGTTTTGCCTCACTCTTCTAGAGAGTGCCTCCATAAGCCCCATTCCTGATGTGGCCACCTTCTCCTTGAAGGCTTTTAAGTCTCAGCTCCCACTGCTCAGCCAAGTGGTATGGAAGGCAAAGGGAAGCCAGCTGGACTGTGAAACAGGCTCAGGTGGCTTTCTCCAAGCCAAGCTACCAGCCACAGGCTTTTAAATTGCCATCCTTGCTGCCCAGCTGAACAGTGGGGAATGGGCAAGGGGAAGCAAAGGGAAACAAGTGGAGGGCAGTGCCACTCCCTGAGCGCAACTCGCCATGCCCAGCAACTGAACAGAGCAGCTGAAGCAGGACAGTAATGCCCCTGTCAGCTTCTCAAACTCCAGCGAGAAGCAAGCAGAAAGCAGTTGGCAGCTGCTCCTCCCCTTCCCTCTTAGTCTATGCCTTCTCCAGACTGGGGTGACCTCAGTCTCTGGAAAGCACAGGATCCTTTCCCCCAGCTCCAATCCTCTTGGTCTCCAGGGGGAGTTAAACCCAAGGAAAGTGTGCAGACATTCAATCTCCAAAGAGAAACTCTCCTGGGAGTGATTTGTACCTGCCTGTTTCCAGGTTATTTTTCTCCCAGACCAGGCATAAGAAAAAGCTCAAATATCTGCACATTTGATTTCTAACAGAAGAAAAACAAGTCTCCCAGTAAAAACTGAACATCTATACATGGTCTAACTTGTACCCTTTATAATCCAAGGAGCAGTCAAAAATGCCCAGACCTTCATTTTAAATCAAGCAAGAGAATAATCAGTTTCAAGAGTGATAATATAGATCTCCTTTTACAGTATGGCTTTAGTCTGAAAAATAACTGCCTAGAAATGGCATCTTCATACTCAGCACACCTTGCTTTTGGGATGAATAGAGAACCAAAATCACTACAGAAAAATGCCATAACTGAATAACCTTAAACTGAATGCTAATTCAGGTTCCAAATGCAAAGCCACAAATAAGATATTTTCTGCTAGTAATTTTTTTTTAAACTAGGACCTTTTCTGAAAGTGTACAGACCTTCTCTCATAAAAGATATAGCCTTTGATTTAATATTCTCCTTTAATTGCCTTGTCTTAGTCAGATATTCCAACACATAAATATTTGGAGCAAAGTTGATCATGTTCTGTTCACCACAGCCATAAGGCATCTTAATCAAAGACTCCAAACCATTGATAGAAGGCCCAAGGATATCACCTAAAAGATAAAATTAAAGTTCAGTGCTTATACATGTGCATATATGGTGATATCATTTTTAAAATTAGACTTTTCAATACTATAATATCCAGACACAATCCTTTTCAAATTCCAGTGCCTTTATTCTAATATTATAATTAAGCCAACATACAAGCCAGCAACTTCATAGTGTTAAATATTGCTAGGAAGATCTCTAAAGGACTACTATTCAGAAAGCTTCTTCTAAGGCCTCTGAAAGTCTGTTGAACTAATCCTGTTTGGGAAATGACCAAACTCATTTCTTAAGGGAAGCTGTAATGGTACATTGTAACTCCAAGCCTTATATTGGAGGCTATGCAAGCTCAGCACAAATTGAAACACTCAACTTTATATTTACTGTCTGTGAAAGAGACAAGATTGCTTCCTGAAAGATAATGACGATATAAATAGGATAAAATAATTCTTACCAATAGCAGTGACTTGCACTCTTTCACTGCCACTTACTACATCAGAAGGAAAGTTGAAATGCAGAGTTTTTGATATAGTTTTTGTATTATTCCCAGTCAAATCCAAGAGTACTGCCTGTGAGTAGGACTGTTCAAGGCCCTCAGCCTATCAATATAAACAAAGATAATTATTTTTATCTCCAGTATTTTATTTGTTGTGTTTAGGTTTTTTATCATGCTAATTCATAGAGTGTTGTATTCAAAAGACCTAAACCATTATGCTTCATACTATTTGCTAACACAGCAAAAAGTAGCATATTCACGCGTCTGAACTGATGCATATTTATTTTTTGCTTAAAACCACAGATGTGCCTTTAGTAACTGTTCTATCAAGATGAGGTTTTAATAAGGAAAAATAATATATAGAGCCTGATCAAAAGTCTAGTGAAGTCAGAATCTTTTCACTGACTTCAATGGACTCTGGATAAGGTCCATTCAGCACAGTAGTCTAAGACAAAGGTTTCACATAATATGCAACACTATGGGCTTATCTATACAGAGAGGATTTAGTTCAAAGCAAGATGAATCTATGCAAATACTTCAAGTGTGTGCATTTTCCATGAAAAAGTCATCAGAAAAAACACAAACTCAAAGCAGGGACCAGAACCCAGTTTCCCCCTTTACCACTAAGTGGGGGAATCATGCTCTCTTTTCCCCTCTTAATAATCCAATGGATGTTTCTTTTTGACAGGTTGAACAGATTCAGCTGAAAGGGTTTACCATTTGCACACCTCAGAAAAGCCTGCAGTGGTTAGGATGCGAGAAATCCTTGAATGCAGTAATGAGAATTGAACTAGGGTCTCCTAGATCCTAGACCCACTCTGATATTGTATAAAAGAAGTACAGGACTACCACCTCAACTTTCTAGTGTATGCCAAACTATGTACAGGGGAAGGCCTAGTAAGAGGGTCCTGACTGATCTTACATGTGAAAAGGGTACTGAGTTGCAACGCCCTAGAGCCGAGAGAAGCAGTTCTGGGAGCCGAGAGAAGCAGTTCTGGGCTGGTAAGTATAATGGCACCTTAGTTTTCAATATTAAAATTCTCCAAGCACTTTGTTTTAAATAGATTCACGCCACTCCCACAATACAGAACTTTTCATGTTAAAGATCTGTTGACCTCAAGCCAAATGTTACAATTACAATTCACTTATTAGAGGTTTTTGTCAAAAAATTATCTGACACCGAACGAATTATAAAGTACCAGTATCATCCCACACCTGGTCCCACAGCTCCCACTTCTGCCAATGGAATGTGTCATGTGATCAAGGATTTGTACACCCGAGTTCTATGGGGCTTTTCATTATTATTATTTTTAAAAGCAAATCTAAAGCAATTTAAGGAAAGGACTCTTTAAAAAGAAAGCTTTCTCCTAGAATTCTGAAAAGTTTACAAGAGAAACATCTACTGATTTGCCTTTTTGACACATTCTGAGCTGTTTTTTATAAAGCTTAGAATGAATCAAGTCTTTAAATATTTACCTTCACTAAAACTTTCTGGAGAACAGCATCAGAAGCAGTGGGTGACACTGCTGTCACTTTGATAGGGATCTCCCCCAGCTGTTTTGGTTTGATTGGGAAATTAACAGTCCTTCCATCTTCACTTGGTACTAACACAGACTGTTGGTTTCCTGTAGCGTTTATTTCATTGGATGTTATAAGAATTTCAAAAGCATCACTGATATCCAGGGTCACTGTAACCTATGAAAATAAAATAAAATGTGCTATTTTAGCAACAGACGTTAATCCTAAAGGCTGTTGTTTTATAAGATGTAGATTTCTGACCATGTATAAAAATATGCCTTGGTTTTTCCATGTCTTCAGTGAAGAAATAATAAAGACTTTGAGGAGATGTATTCAGAATTGCTTCTGGGAGCCTTGCAGTGTCTGGCAACGTTCCTGAATCAGAGTATAAAAATATGGACAAAGAGGAAAGAGAGGGAACATGGAGCAAGTAGAAGGATGAAATAAGTAGAAAAAAGGAGAATGGAAAGGAAGAAAGATCTTCAGGGAAAAACAGACTAGAAGCTAAAAATCAGAGGGAAGAGAAAGAAACTGTCAGGAGACAAATAACATAGTTGAGAAAAAATAAGTGAAATATTAGAGCTTCTCTCAATATGTGTTCACAAGCCTGAGCTCCATTCATTTAACTTAATGAGAGCGCTCAAGTATTTCAGAGTAACTGCCATACAGTGACTGGAAAGCCTTAGGAACACTATGTATGCCGATTCAGATCCAATTCATTCCCATATCCTACTTCTGACCAATACCACTGCGAGGAAACAAAAATAAATCAAGGTGTTTTTGACTGCTTTGTGCAATAATTTTACCTTAGGAAATCAGATATTTCTGATGACAGCAGCAAAAAAAATATGAGTGATAACCAAGTATATGTATGTGAACTGCCTCTAGGAGAGCTACAAGAAGCAAGATTTGTCTGAGAGAATAATTTAATGGACAAACTCTATAGTTGAGAGAAATGTTAGACAAGCTCTCAGGCACAAAATACCTTTTCTTGGGTCTAGGAGGGACAAGGGTCAATACATGGCAGAATGGTAGGGGAAAATGCCAACGAGAGGTTTTACCTTGGTCTCTTCTTTCAAGTAATTGAAGATATTTATTTCCAAAATAAACTGTTCTCCTCTGGTAACAGAGTAAGGAAGGTTCAAGGAAATGAAAAAAGGCTGAAATGTTTCTAGCTGAAAAATAAAAAATATATATACAACAGTGAACTCCTGCAGTCACCAATTAGCTATTACATTGGCTACAGTTCAAACTCAGACCTTTTCTAAGTAGACTTTATCACTGGCAACCTTGACTAGACAAGTGCATCATGTAATAAGATATAGATGGAGCTTGAGTGAAAGAAACTGTTAGCTGACAGCAGCCAATACATCCTTCTGAGGACTCTACAACATGCGCACATGGGAGCTGTGGGGTTCTTGGCAGTACTGACCATCAGACTGCTCTATAATCTGCATACTTAAACATGGATTGAAGATCTAACTTTCGAAATGTGGGTTTGATAGTTCTGAGTGTACCTGTCCTTTGGAATTCTGTAAAAGAAAGTTGCCAACTGTTTTGAAACCTAAGTAATGTATGATATAAGAATTTATTTCTTCATGGCCCTACATTTACGCCAAGGAGCATCTTCTCATTCACTTGTACAAAGCAGAATAGGGCCTATGGGGAAAAACATACTGAAAAATGATGGGCCCTCCTAATTTTTTATTTTACTGACTGTATGGATTTTAATTTGAACTTTGGATTTTTAAATATTCCCTGTGGATAAAAACCATGTTTCATTCCATAATTACATGTCTGAACTAAAGAAAAATCTCAACTATAGAAACCCACAGGTAGCAAGCAATTCACTTTTGCCTGTGGAGACATGCTTTTTGAAGAAAATCTTTGCCCTATTGAAATCAATGGCAAACGTCAATTGATTTTATTGGGGTCAGGATTTCCTCGCCTTGCTCCCCCACAATGATTAAACATGCAGTACAGCCATCTGGGAAATAACAGCTAGCGTGAAAATTTCAATGAAAAATACTGAGTTTTGTTTTCATCAAAGGTTTTCTTGTAATCACTTTAAGTTCTCACCCAATAAAACACAAAAATGGATTCTTTTTCAATAGCGAAGCCTGACATTTTTCAGCTTAAAATAGAAAAAAAAAATGGGGAGAAAGGAAGATTTGAGGGGAAGGAAATTTCCACTTTCCATAAAAAAAAGTTTTAACAGATAAATTTTACCAGTATTATCTTTAGAGAATAACAACATTCTGTAGGAAAAGTTCCATAAAAATAATATAACTAAGCTAACTCTCATTTGATAAATAATGTTAAAGTTCATGGCCCAGATTTATTTTCTCTGTTTCATACAATAACCTTTATCTGCATTTCTATATATTCTTCTTGAGTGTGTTTCACCTATGTGGAACTCTAAATATGAACTGAACAACCCAATGTTGCATACGTGCAGTTATGGCTTAAAGGATAACCTTGGCATGTGTTCCCCTTGCAAACTACCCAAATGCAAGGATGTGTGGCCAAGTATATAATTTCAAATAATCTGAAATCAGTTTCACAGATTTCATAGACATTAGGGCTGGAAGGGACCTCGGAAGTTCATCAAGTCCAGCCCCTGGCCCGAAAGGCAGGAAGTCAGCTGGAGTCATAGGATTCCAGCAAGATAAGCATCCAATTTGCTCTTGAAGGTGTTCAATGTAGGTGCTTGAACCACCTCCGATGTCAGGCTGTTCCAGACCTTGGGGGCTCGGACAGTAAAGAAATTCTTCTTTATGTTCAGCCTGAAACGGTCTCGCAGTAGTTTATAACCGTTTGACCTCGTCATCCCTTGGGGTGCTCTGGTGAATAAACGTTCCCCCAGATACTGGTGGTCAACCCTGATAAACTTATACGTGGCCATCAGATCACCCCTGAGCCTGCACATTTCCAGGCTAAACAGCCCCATGGCTCTCAGCCTGTCATCCTAAGGTCTGTTTTCCTGACCTCTGATCATGTGCATGGCTCTTCTCTGGACTCTCTCAACCTTCTCCACATCCTTTTTGAATTATGGGACCCAAAACTGGACGCAATACTCCAGCTGGGGCCTCACCAAGGCAGAGTACAAAGGGAGAATGACGTCCTGGGATTTGCTTGAGAAGCATCTATGGATGCAAGCCAGCATTTTGCTCACTTTACTAGCCACAGCATCGCATTGAAGGCTCATGTTCATCTTGTGGTCAATGATGACCCCAAAGTCTCTTTCTTCTGTAGTGCTAGCCAG